TTAGCTTGGTAAATTTAGATAAATTTAGATGTTTTAACATGTAGACACAAATCCTAAGTTAGCACCTGTATACAAAGTACAGTAAAACCTTGGTTTGCAAGCATAATTTGTTCCAGAAACATTCTTGTAACCCAAAGTACTTGTATATCAAGGCAAATTTCCCCATAAGAAATAATGGAAACTCTGATGATTTGTTCCACAACCCAAAAATATTCATATAAATATATTACAATAATATAATGTAATACAAAATAATAAAGAAAACACAAAATATAAAGAAAAATAAACAAAGGAACCTGGACTTACTTTTGAAAACCTTCGTGGCTGGTGTGAGGGAGACGAGAGAGGACGGTGATTGTGTAGGACGAATTTCACTATCACTAACAGAATCACTGCTATCTATTGGCTCAGTGGAATCGTTTCTTTTAGTGCAACCTTAACAAGGAACCTAACCAATGACACTTGCTTTTGCCTCCTTTTGAGGATTTTGTGGAAATGTGATATTGCATTGACGATCACCCACAATCCCGCAGAGAGAGAGTGAGAGAGAGAGAGAGGGAGGAGAGAGGGAAAGGGAGAAACATTGATTCAATTGTGATCATGTGACGTTTGGTGTCACAAACTACTCGTATTGCAAGATATCGCTCGTTTATCAAGTTAAAATTTATTAGAAACGTTTGCTTGTCTTGGAGAACATCCACAGGGCAAGTTACTCACAATCGAAGGTTTTACTGTGTAGGCTGATTATCTGGCAAAGCATATATTCTTTCTCATGTTAAACATGTACTCAATCCCATTTTCAGGCCCATTTTCTTCTCTCTTGTAAGGTGAAGTTTTTGCAGCTACAGTGGTAGAGAATTTAAAACTGCTCTTTTTTTATTTAAAAAAAATTTTTTTAACATTTATTTTTGAGAGACAAAGCACAAGCAGAGCAGGGGCAGAGAGGGAGGGAGACACAGAATCTGAATTAGGCTCCAGGCTCTGAGCTGTCAGCACAGAGCCCGACGCAGGGCTCAAACTCACAAGCTGTAAGATCATGACCTGAGCTTAAGTCAGATGCTTTACCAACTGAGCCACCTGGATGCCCCAATCTTTCTTTTGTTTAATGTTTATTTATTTATTTTGAGAAAGAGAAACAGAGTGTGAGCATGGGAGGGACAGAGAGAGAGGGAGAGGGAGAATCCCAAGCAGGCTCCATGCTGTCAGCACAGAGCCCGATGTGTGGCTGAGTCCATGAACTGTGAGATCATGACCGGAGCCAAAATCAAAAGTCAGGTTCTCGACCAACTCAGGCACCCAGGTGCCCCTAAAACTGCTTTCTTAAGAGCTGAGCAAATTGAAATTGAAATCCTTCATGATGTGAGGGACTATACAAATGTAACTACACAAAATGGATAATTGTATAAATTTCTATATTTTACACATTTGTACTTTAAACATGAGGTCAGTGCTCTGAAAATTAAGTTACTAATAATTGAAATCGTTAATAATGAACTTTCAGAGGAAAATGTTTCCTGACAAAGACACACTTTAAAAACGTCTGTGTACACAGGGGGAAGGTGTTATACAAAGAAACTCATTGCCAAACACGTGTTAAAAACAGAAACTATTATTTATACATTAATAGAAAAACAAACATATAAAGGTATAATTTATAGTTTTTTAATTTTTATTTTTTTAACATTTGTTTATTTTTGAGAGAGAGAGAGACAGAGCTCAAGTAGGGGAGGGGCAGAGAGAGAAGGAGACACAAAATCTGAAGCAGCCTCCAGGGTCTGAGCTGTCAGCACAGAGCCTGACACGGAGCTTGAACTCATGAACCATGAGATCATGACCTGAGCCAACTCTCCTTTTAGATACACTACATGTCCTAAAAATTTATAGGCTATTGCAGTTTCTGAAAAGAAATCTAAATGATCTTGGGGTGCCTGGGTGGCTCAGTTGGTTAAGCCTCTGACTCTTGATTTCAGCTCAGGTTGTGACCTTACATTTCATGAGATCGAGCTCCACGTCAGGCTCTACTGAGAATGCAGAGCCTGCTTGGGATTCTGTCTCTCTCAAAATAAAAAATATTTTTAAAAAATCTAAATGATCTTGAAAATAAGAACCACTTTTTCCTAATCTTTTCCTTTTCACGGTATCCTCAGGTGACCTATGTAGACTCTACCGTTCATGTAAAGGAACAACTACTTGTGATTAATCACACAGTGGTAAATTATGGAAACTGGGGATTGACACTGCCAAAAGGATTGGAGACATCATTCAGTTGTTTTAACCATTTTTAAAACACTAATCCCATGGGTTGCCTGGGTGGCTCGGTCAGTTAGGCATCCGACTTTGGCCCAGGTCATGATCTCATGGTTCGTGAGTTCGAGCCCCACACCAGGTTCTGTGTTGACTGCACAGAGCCTGCTGGGGATTTTGTCTCTCCCTCTCTCTGCCCCTTCCCCACTCCCTTGTGCACGCATACACTCTCTCTCTCACAAAAATAAGTAAACATTTTTAAAACCTCACAAAACCTTTTCTACACATAAGCTATAAGAACTTGGATTGTAACTCCCACAAGAGCAGCCATTAACCCATCCTTTCTCTCCCGCAGACCTTCGGGCCCCTCCTCAGAACCTCTGAAACTTCAGAGCTTCTCAGAGCCCATTTTTGAGATGAGGAAAATGGGACTCAGAGAGGGACTGTGCCAAAATCACACAGCTAGCCACCAGGCATTATCAGTGGAGACATAATGTCACTACGCAGGCCTCCTCTGAGTCACATTTACTGATCCCCTTCTCAGTGGCATCCTCAGTTTAAGCCTCATGTCTGTCTCTAGTAAAAAAAAAAAAAAAAAACCCAAAATTTATGGCAACTCATGAATATTAGTATCACCGTCCTGTGCTACAATATTTTATAAATGATGGATTGTCTACCTTGATTCATTTGAATATCCATTAGTTCATACACTCGATAAGCACTCTGTGTCTACTGTCTGTCAGGTGTTATTTTAAGGAGTGGGGATAAACCAGTGAACAAATAAAGGAAAGTCTCTGTTTTCAAGGGGCTTCCATTCTTATGGGAGAAGAAGGGGAAGAAACAAATACATATGAAATGTCTCCCATCCTTATAAATGCAAAACAAGGGGAGGGGACAGATGGTGTAGGGCAGGATGCTACTTGAGGTGGACAGTTACACAGTACTTTCCCCGATGAGGTGACATTTGAGGAATATGAAGGAAATAAGCGAATGCGCCATCCAGATATCTACAGAGAGAACGTGCCAGGCAGAGAAAACAGGTCAGAGTTCCCGAGGGACAGGCATGTGTGGTGGACCACCTGAGAGACCCCGAGAGACCCCAAGCCTGGAGAGGAGTTAAAGGTGGGCGGTTAGGTAAAAACAGGTGGATGTCTTGAGTTTGGAAACTTTTTTAACATTTCTTTATAAATAAGTGAGAAAATATTGCCACACTCCCAATTAGACTACCTATTTAAATAATTCAGGGCTCGCTTGTGTAGCTTATTGCGTCCGCTAATTCCAGAACATTCTGATCTGATCATAATTACATGTTGGCTCTGCCACTTGGTGGCCATGTTACCAGGACAGATAAACCTGTTTCTGCATCTATAAAGGGAGGTTAATAACGTCTGTGTTGTTTCCCACCCAAAACAGTTTTAAGGGTGAACTCTTCCTGGGTCATCAAATGATTTCAAAAACAACAAAATGCTTTTGAGTTCTTAGTCCATGGAAGAATGCCGTGGGGCTTTCAAGCAGGTTTTGATCTCCATGTGAGCAGGACTTCCCCTAATAATTATTGATCATCTCATAGTACATACCAAGTTTTGTGAGAATACAGGCTGTATGCTGTGACTTTTTCGGGTGGCTACTGGGATCAGAGCCAGAATGACCGTGAAATTAAATGCTTTGGAAATATGTATTTATACAGAAAATTTAGCAAATGTATAGGTAACCATCCATTCTCTTATTCCTTCAAGGCATCTATCATCTTCTGAGTCTAACGGACTCATCTGTGTTAAGAGAGGCTGGGGAACAGGCCACCAGCTCTCGGCTTATTTTATATCTACAACTCCTCTCTAACTTAACACAGCAAACGTTTCCATCCACAGAGTGCTGGAGATGTGATTCGTTTCAGAACTGCCTCAGTGTAAATAAAGGAAATATCATTCACTTAGGCAATGAGAGGAAGAATTCATGTTCTTTACTTGATCAAGACTTCATTTGCTTCGGAAACTGAGATTCGAATAAAAGATATTTTGTTTTATGTTGATGTGTAACAAAATTCATGACAAATACACTTCAGTCAATTCTTTCATTTCAAATTGGAGAAGTTTTCTAAACATGAAGACTTAGCAATAATAATGCTAAAATGAGAAGTAGAAGTGCATTGAGGATAACTGGAACTAAAAAAAAATTGGCTAATGTTAAGATGAATTATTATAGTTTCATATAAAATAATTCTGTATTTTAACTTAAAAAATTAAGAATCAGTAAGCCAGCCCTCTGCAAATCTACTTGTTTAAATTTATTTTTGTAAGGAACGTTGAGAACCTTGCTGCGTTTTGTCCTAAACAGTGTTTAAAATTAATGTTCTTTTTTTTTTTTTTTTTAAATGTTTTATTTATCTCTGAGACAGGGAGAGAGACAGTGTGAGCAGGGGAGGGTCAGAGAGAGAGGGAGACACAGAATCCGAAATAGGCTCCGGGCTCTGAGCTGTTAGCACAGAGCCTGACGCAGGGCTCAAACCCACCAACCGTAAGATCATGACCTGAACCGAAGTCGGATGCTTAACCGACTGAGCTGTCCAGGTGCCCCTAACATTAATGTTTTAAGTTGCATAAGGCACAGAGCTTTTGAAGGAGGGCAGCGGTGTTAAATCGTAGCTCCCAACACATTGTAAAACCTTTGGAGACGGTTTCCTCAGAGTCATCAAATGCGGATTCTTCTGTGAACCATCAATCTTTGCCACCAGTGTCACATGTGTCTTTCCACTTCAGGTGGACGTAGCCGACGTTGAGAACGAAGAAAATCGCTATTCTCTCTTCATGGAGCTCCTGGAATGCAGCCACCAAGAGGTCGAGTTTCAGCACTTGATTTTGCTCCTGCAGGCCTGGCCACCTATGAAACATGACCATGTGTGAGTGTCAGCCTCAAGTTAGATTTCTTTTGTCCGCTCTTCACTTTTACAATTGTTGGTACCTTCAAAAGAGCTGATGCAACGAAATATATAAAATCAGCGTCAACTTTTGGAGGAAATTAAAATTGGTGGGGTTTTGTTTTGTTTTGTTTTGTTTTTTGGAAATATTGCCGTTCCTTTCCATTTCTCCTTGCCCCTACAGCCGAATATTTTATTCAAAAATATCAGACCGCGCTTAGTAGTAACATCTGATTTGTAATGTCAGCAAAATAATTTTGTTCCAGTATTTTCACCAGGAAATGTTTTGAGTCTCTTTTAACACAACTTGCAACGCTAACATGAGAATCCATGTGGAATAAATTGATAGTTCCCATTTATTGAGGATACACAGTGTTATGTGCCATTTATGCTTATTATAATTCACTCCGTAAACCTCCATGGAGGGTGACATTATCTAATTTTATAAAGAGGGGGTGGGAATTCAGAAGCTGAGTAACTGCAGACCCCGCATGGTTACTAAGTGGACGAGGCAGAGAGAGGGCTCACTGGACCTCCGGCCGCCTTCACAGCCCATGTTTCCTGCATGTCGTGCTGAGCTCGCAGCTGCCGCTCCGGGCCGCACGCGGCAGTCCCGCGGTCCCCGTGCTGTCGGCCGAGGATCCCTGAGGAGGAAGTGGCCGGCTTTCTTCTGGGCGCATATGCTGTCTGTCGTGAACTGCTGCTCCTCGTTGGCACAGAAGAGGAGCGCCCACCCGTGCCTCCGTTCCAAGTGCCCGCCCGCTCCACGACTCATCTGCCCCCCACCCCCAAACCCAGTGCGCATCTCTGTGCCTCAGAAGCCAAAGAAGGTTTTCCTGAAGATAAATATTCTGTGAGCAGTTTTTAAAGGACTGCCAACAAACATCTAGAAAAGACTCCACCTTAACCCGAGGAGGAGACTGTTAGGAATTTCTGAAGCAAACTAAGCAAAGGGTGGTTTTGTTTTGTGTCCAACCAAGTGGAGTGTAGTGGCCATTTTGTGGTGTAGACGCCGTGCAGATAGGTAGCTTTTTCTTTTAATTTTTTTTAATGTTTTATTTATTTCTGAGAGAGAGAGAGAGAGAGACATCGTGAGCAGGGGAGGGTCAGAGAGATCGGGACACACAGAATCTGAAGCAGGCTCCAGGCTCTGAGCTGTCAGCACAGAGCCTGACATGGGGCTCGAACCCAGGAACTGTGAGATCATGACCTGAGCCAAAGTCGGACACTTAGCTGACTGAGCCACCCAGGTGCCCCAATACGTAGCTTTTAAGATTAGGTTCTACCTTTATGGTCTGAAGCCCCGCAGTACAGGTTGTCACATGAAAGCCTTTAGGCTTCCGCGTGGTAGTGTGTCCAAGCGGCATTTCCATTTGGTGCCGGCTGTCACGGCGGAGCTGCCCTGCTGGGCTGGCTGAGTCTGCGTCTCTGTGCACTTTCCAGACGACTGTTAGGTGAGGAGAATGTGCAGTAGACTCACTAGTTAGATTGTCAGTGTTGCTTTGCTTTTCAAGAAAATGATTAGGGTTGCGTTGTAGATCTCTTCATGCCTTCAAAATGGATCTCTTGGGTTTAAAGAGAATTTTCAAAATCAGGAAATGACACCGTCTAGTGGATTAATTTACTGTGGTTTTACGGTTTCTTGTACTTTGAGAACAACAACCATTTCAGATCCCTGACCTACCCACACGTAGTAAACTCAGTTTAATCACTTAAGGCATTTATTGCATTTTAAACAATGTGTTAGCAGATTTTAAAATCCTGGTTTTTAAAGGTATATTCTTTTGTAGCCAGAATGAGGTGAAATTAGTAAATTGCTAACCTATGTTCTCAAAACCTCCTTTATGAAACCATTAGAGTCAAAACAAAGCATTACCGGTCTGCTTAACCCCTCTTACCAGCTGTGTCTCCATCCAGAAGGGTACCTGAGGACAAGTCAAAGAAAATGTCTTTCTGCGGCTTTTTTCCTGTCCCAAATTTGTGTTTTACCACAAGACACTGTAGGATGGGGCGCCTTACCAGTAGGTTCTTAGAAGTACTTTTGAGTCCCTTTTCTGTTCCCAGATAATCAAATGTATGACTTTACTTCCAAAATCACCTCCCCACCCCACCCCACCCCCCCATAAAAGGAAGAGGGGAGGAAAAGTCAGGAAAGGCAGGAGGAAGGGCAGGACAGTGTGACAGTGGTTGAATGTTGTCAGTTTAAACAACAAAGGTAAAAACCGAGAACTCTGCTCCATCCACATGATTGCTAATCTACTGGAACCATCTGTGGGTTTTCGGTTTTATTCTCCTGTGGGAAAATGCATGAGAGGAATAATAGATTCATACTTAGGGGAGATTTATAATTCTCATCCACTGTATCAAAACTGGCTGGTGAAAAACGCATTTTGATAATTGTCACCAAAGCCACCTCCAGCAGGCCAGCGTTCCTGCTGCCGTGCGGCGGCTGGTGGAGAAAACCCAGGGGGGCAGAATTCAGACTTTGAAAGAAGAAAGCAGAGGCCGAGTCCTTAAGTGTAAGACTTCTCGGGCCACCAGACACTCTCTGCGCTTTGTTTGTACCTTGAATAAGCAGGACTCTTTGTCCTCACACATTGTTAGTTCGAGCTGAGACACAAAGGCTCTGCCAAAGGCTGGTATTGTGAGTCCCTTTGCCATTGTTACACTTGACATTTTTCTTAGGGGGAAAGGGATAAAGTCCTTTCAGGGCAAGAACCATCCTCAGGTGTTGTGTGTCTAGAATCTAGAGCCATGCTACTGAGACCACAGCCTCTTCATCAATAGGAAAATTATTTTAAAACATGGCAAGTAAAATTGGCACCCTGTTCCTGGGGCCATGGAATAATGTACATTTACCTTGTCTCTCAAAACGTAAATTGGGACGTTTGTATGAAGCATGAGGCTGTGACATCCGGAGGAGGGAAACAGAAGGCAAACTTTGTGTGCTTTCGTGTTTCGGAAGCAGGGAAGCTGTGTGAAGGGCACAGCGTGATCTCACTACCACTCGCACGTTGCTTCCTTGGTCTGTGCGCAGGCTGACCTCTGCGGCACCCTGACTGTCCTTCGGCCCCGGGGCCCTGAGTGTGTCATCGTCGTATGGTGAACAAAAGCCAATATTTAGGCAGCGAATAGTGAAATGTGCCTGCGATTAAGAGCGATAGTGCACAATTATGAACATCATTCATTGATGTATAAGAATAAGGCAAGTTTGCAAGGAAAACACTCAATTGCTCTTTCAGAATGAAAAGGAACTGAGGCCCAGAGAGGTTGGGTGGCTTCCCCAGCACTAAACGACCAAGCTCAGAGAGCTTCAGTGACTTCCCTGAGTCACCCAAGTAGGAAGCTGGGAGCCACCCGGGGAGCCCAGGGTGGCGCTGCCCTCAGTGTCTGCCCACGGCCTCCACGCTGCTGGGCAGGTGGCGATGCCCCTGCGAGCCGTGTTCGCTGGAAGGGGTTCTCTCTCCTTCGCGACAGGCTTGAGGGAACACAGCACCTACACTGTGACTGCCGTTGGCCCAAAGCATTTCGCTTCAAAAGGTGGCGTTTCTTCTCTCTTTAAAAATTCCATGCCGCGGTTGTCACAGCGTGAATCACTCACTCCCGGTGCCTGGTGTGTCTCCCCCTCAGACCCGGCGTCCCCGGCAACCCGTGGGTGAGACTGGCAACAGCCATGCTGACCAGGTGTAGGACGGGGAACAGAGACGGACTGGGGAACGAGGTTTTGAAGATGTGCCGCTCCTTATATGACACCGCGCAGATGCTCCCCGCAGAGGTAAGCGCGTATTTAAAGGGCCTTTCCCGGGCAGGGGGCCGGGGGGGTGGGGGGGATGGGGTTGGGGGTTGGGACGGGGGCGGGTGGCCCTTTTCCTCTTAGAAGCAGTTGCCCGTGACCGTGCTTGAGCACCACGTGGCTGAAGCCATCAGTAGGCAAAGGCCCCTAATGTGTAACAGACCGAGTGAAGAAAAGGCGTCCTGAGAGCGTGCCCTGAGGTGGTGTTGCCTCTGCTGGACCTCTGAAGCCTGGGACCTTTCCCGGTTCCTTCTGGATGTCCTTTCGGGTCTCACTCAGGCTGACGTCCCAAGGGGCCCGGGACCAGGGCCAGCCCCTTCGTCGTCTGTGCCCGAGCCAGTCCAGCTGGTGACGGAGCAGCAAGCGTCAACGCCCCTCTGGGCAGGTAGCCAGCCACCCCTGCTTCTATGCACTCTTTGCCATTGTCGTAGTAAGATCGCACGACCACGGTGCGATCCTCTGTAAACACTGTAAAGACAGCCCCCTACATTTTGACCCTCATTCTCTATTTGACCCCGCAATTTGGCTCCCACAGAGGCATTTGTTTTATATATATATACATAAGCACATATGGATTACAGCTCCCTGCTCTGAATCTGACCTCCGCAGTGTGTTGTTTGAGCAATGTCTACACATCTTAAAAATAAGCGTGTGGATAATGGCACTAAATTGATTAATTGGTTTTCAAGTTCCTACCACATAGGAGATAAACTTGAAACCAAAATTGTAAATGTGATTCTTGGAATCCTCACTGTAATCACTCAAGGAAAATATTCTCATTATGAATGTACATTTAATGGATTGTTTTCTGAATGAGGGACTGGCTAAGTGTTTTCTGATTGAAGTTTAAAATATTTTCTCCATTTAAAGAAGGTTTCCAACCACCATAATGACAAAATTCTTCTCTAAAATATTTATTTATTTTTATTTTTTTTAATGTTTTATTTTTGTGAGAGAGAGAGAGAGAGAGAGAGAACAAGCTGGGGAGGGGCAGAGATAAAGGAAGACACAGAACCTGAAGCAGGCTTCGGGCTCCAAGCTGTCAGCACAGAGCCGGACACGGGGCTCAAACCCATGAACTGTGAGATCATGACCTGGGCCAATGTCGGACGCTTAACCAACAGAGCCCCCGAGGCGCCCAATCTTCTATAAAATATTTAAAGTCCCATCACCAGCAATAACTTCCCTTTATACCACAGCATGTGATTTGCTGGCCCCTGCTACGTATTTACCTGTGACCTGTCACACTATGTTGTGAGCGCCGGAAGGGTGGGACCCATGCCTGTGTGTCATTTCTCACCCACGGCAGGATTCAGCATACTGTGTGGAGTGGGGACTCAACACAATTTATTGCCCTTGCCAGGGTGGGTGGTATGTACGTAATGAGGGGCTCACCTCTGCCTTGTTAGGTTGGGACCACATGCCAGAAGTGCCCATTCTGCGGGACCTGGGTTGGGGAAATGTTGTTTAGGACCACCTGCCTCTATATCGCAAGCTGCTGGTAACAGCAGGAGCTAGCGTTTGCTACACTCCCGGGCTTCCACTTCCATCGTCCCACTGAACCCTCACCACCACTGGTAAGGAGGTTCCTTGACCTTCATTTAACAACTGATGGAACTGAGGCTCTGAGAGCAAAGGCCCGGCTCCTGGTCACTCAGGCAACAAAGGGCGGATCTGGTCGTCACACCAAGGCTTCGCTTGAATGCTTGGAAAATAAACACTTCCAAGTGAGCCATTCTTCCTACACTTGGGGTGTTTGCATATTGAAGTGTATGTTTTGTGTGGTTGGATAAGTTTCATTGTCATCTTGTCTCCTTTTGTATGATACTTCCTTCAAGAAGGGCCTGTAGTGTGTTGGCTCTAGATTATTAGTGTTTTAGATGTAAGAGTGTCGAGATCTCTATCATTACCTGGAGAATTTGGTTTATTTAAATATCCTTATTGGTCGGGTTTTACTACCGTTAGTTCTGAGGCAAGGACTAGCTGAGAACATGGCCACTGCATCTTTGACCCTGACATCATACCATTAGCTACATAATTGAGGTTCAGTAACAGTTACATGTGTTATCTTGCACCCACCCAGCAGCAGGTGACAAACATATCTGAGTGTCCAAGGCAGTAGTGAGAGCTGTCAGCATTGCATGTGAAGTTTAGGGGCGACCTTCGAGGACATGCAGGGAGAAGTATGTTCTTCTTTTTTATTGACTAACGCATAGTAAGTTATGATCTGTTTCCTATTTTAAAAAAAGGAGTTGGTTCTTGAGTGAGAAGTTAAATACCTATAATGATTCAGCTTCCTAATATGCTGCTACAGCCAGGTGGAGGTGCTCTGACAAATGGAATAATATTTTATGTACAGTGGTCTCGCTTTTTCTCAGACTTATCGGATCAGTGATTCCCGAGTGTTTTAAGGAACTCAGAATGGATAGCACAGTGCCTGAAGCACACATCTATTAGAGTATTCCTCACACACCAGGGAAGGGGATTAGAGCCTCTGTTCTTTGTGGGGACTGGGAGCCCCGAAGGGCAGGAGCCATTGGACGTACGGGAGCCCTGGAGATGCATGAAATTGTCCTCAATTTCATGGGCTCATGTTGTGGCCCAGTCTGGAAAAGGACTTCTTCTGGCCCCTGAAACTAACAAGGAGTTCCATCCTGTGATCCCCGAGGCGACTCTGGTTCTGAGTATTCCCAAAGGTCCCAAGGCCTTTGAGGAGGATGACCTGAGGCTGTCTGTTTACAGCTGCACCCATAGCACATAATCCACGACTTTTCCCTCAGCCCACAGTTCTCTCGGGGCAGGGAGGAAGGTACTGGGTTGAAGCCCATGTTGATGTAGGTTATTATCGCTTCTCTATTCCGGTTTGATGAGAGAGAGTTATTATCAAGCGAGTTGTGTTGCCACAGCAGCTTTTCTTTATTCCTCATGCTACCTCAGTTCTGTCTTGTAATTGGGTATGTTTACAGATTTTTTTTTTTTTTTCTGAGGATGCCGTGCTTAAAAGAACCTTGCAAATGTTAGGTACTATTTTTATTGATTGTTAAATGTGCTCAAATGTGAGTTAAAATTGTTACAAAGGAAGGAACATTGTAATTAAGAAATGGAAATGTCTTCTTAAGTTTATTTTACCACATTTGGAAATTACATTGTCTAATTTCAGAAGCACATAATATTTAATATCACTCTGGTGATGAAATTCTCCATAACTTGCTTTTTAAAAATCTAGTACCTTTGGTTGCTCTACTCTGTGGTTTATAAAGTACGTTTGCCCACCTGTCTAGGACAGGGTGCTTCATCTGCATTTCCCGTCTCCCCACCGAGTTCCCATAGTCAGAGATTTTTTTTCTGTTCTTCATGACTCTTCAGAAAGTCTTTAGGTGATGCCTGCCATTGTTCGTGGTCGTTGGTTACTTCCTGCCATGTTGGTTTTGCTGATGGAAACTATTACCAGAAGGATAAAATCAGTGTTGCTCCCAGATCGTATGTCTGCAGTCTTGAAAGTTCTGTATCCTTCTTCTTAGCTTGTATCCATGGCAATATTTGAAGTGTTCTCAGGAATGGGGGATATTCAGAATTAGAAACTAGCATAAAACAGATTCTTGGCATTTACAGATTTAAACTTCCAAGTTCCAGCTATTTGTGACTGACCCTGGAAGTGCGTGGTTTTGCTGAAGCACTGCATGAGCTAGAGGCACGGATGCTCTGGGTCAGGTGTTTGGGAGTTAGACGCCCAGCTAATGAGTGAGCCTCGCTAGTCTGCAGCCTCTCCGTCTCAGTGCGATTGTTCTCTCTCATGGTGGAGGTACTTTTGATAGTGTCTAGAATTTGATTCGCAGATCAGATGACACGCACCCCTGTAACCCTCTGCCCTCCACTCCTGCTGCAGGCCCTGACACGTTTGTGGGCAGGCTACCCCAGGATGAGCAGGAAGGCTGTGAGGCCAAAAGGACCATTAGCAGACGGGTCCTGTTTCTTTGACAGCCATCAGCCACAGGGACTGTGCCTTGGGGGCATCACCATCAATCACATTTGTGCTGGGTTCTGGCCTGGCTTTGGGCCCAGACACACCTCTTCCTTTTCATTCAAGGCCCCTTGTTCTGTATCCTGATGGCCAGACAGGTTTGAGCTGAGAAGGTGCTGATGAGGTGTTTTATGGTTTTCTTTGTGACTTCGTCCTTTCTTAGAGCTTCTCAGATCCCCCCTATAAATCTCCTGAGAAATTCTTCTTGTAACACAGGGGAAAATACTGAAGAACCTAGTATAGTAGGTTAGCTAACTGTTAGCTAAGAGATAGAAAGTACTCAGTAGCTCAGAAAGTACTCCTCCATTCTTGGATATCCTTGACTTTATACTTCAGGTAAAGTATATTTCCGTCAGCAAAACCATCATGGCCGTAAGTCAGCAAGTACCACGAGCACCAGCAGCATGACACAAAAGCACTCGAAAGAGCCATGAAGAAAAAACAAACTTCTAACTATGGGAACGTAATCAGGGGATGGGAAATGGGGAGAAGGAAAAGGTAAGTCCCTTTAAGTACCGTGTCCTAGGCAGTTAGGCGAACGTACTTCAGCATTATTTATCCATTGTGCCTGCTCAGAGGGGCATACGGGTTATTTTGATAAAGATTGTCTTCAAAGCTAAGGTCAGTCAAGTGATATGCTTAGTCTAAATATCATCAATTTCTGAGAAATACCTGTTACAGAGAACTTAATGAGTAAGTAAATATAAGTGCTGGAAGGGAATGATATACAAATATTTTTAGGTATAGTATCTACTGAGCCAATTTAGAATACAGAGAAGGGAAAATATTCTTGTCCTCAAGTGAGGCAGCTGAACAAATGAATAATTACAGGATCGCAAGATGACAAATAGTGTAGGAAATATTGACAAAGTATAGTCGGAATGTAGGAGTTGCTGAGCATTGGAAATCCAAGGCAGCTTAGTGGGAAATGGGGTTTTCCTGTGCCCTTTCCAGCTGAGACTCAAAGAACCAATGGTGATGCATCAGAAAGAAAAACGACCAAGGTCACTTCCTCTGCCCAGACCCAGAGGTCTGTGGGAACTCAACCCTGCAGCTGCACCACCAGCACGGTAGCCACTGGCCGCATGTGGTTATTAAAACTTTAAGGAAAATGGAATAAAAATGTAAAAGCCGAGCCTCAGTTGCAGCAGCCAGATTGCAGATGCTCCCTGGCTGCATGAGGCTCCTGGCTGCCGTGTTGGACAGAACGTTCTGCCGTGGCCGCCAGGTCTCCTGGGCCGCACGGTCTGAGCGCTGAGGAAAGGGCAGGTGGGGGAGCATCGCAGTGACGTTCCCGCAGGAGGAGGTGGAGGGCGACAGAAGCAAGTTGGTGCAGGACAGCTGTGTGGCATCGTCGTAGGCGAGAGTCTGCATTTCATCCTCCCACACACTCGCTGCGGGTGCTGGCATCTCACATGACAACTCTGCAGTCTCTTGGCCCCCAGGGCTCAGGGAGGCTCCTCTCTAGGACTGTGTGCTTTAGGGCACCCAGAGCGTGAGGCAGGATCCATGATGCGTGGAGTGCACGTTTTACAAACGTGCTCCCTGCCAGGGTTGATCCTCCCCACCCAAGTTTACGCAGCACGACCTTCCAGTCTGAAGGCCTTGCTGATTTCCAGCAGAGATGTGCAAGGAGAAAGGGAAAAATAGCCCAGTGAGTGGGATTCTGAAGACGCTCTTCTCCTGGGGGCTTTAAATAGGAGCTTCTTTTGTGTAGGCTTCATAATCACATAAAGAAATTATTAAAATGTCCTAAATTTGAGGTTTTTGTCTATGAGATGCTGCTGTTGGAGTAGCATAGGAGAGAGACCAGTCCCGTGGGGGACAGGGATTCTTAGTTCCTTCAAAAACAACCCCTGTTTTGTGGGACGGGGTTGTACTCATTGTCTGGTCCTTGACAAAGAACAGATGTTCTGTCCTTTCTCTTGTAGCTACAGTCAGGACGCCGGGGAGCATGTAGCTCAGCGGAGAGGAAGAGCTTGCAAATGTACTGTCTGTGTTCTTATACTTGTGTTGTGGAGGACGATCACTTATTATCTTAGATAAACTCTTGCTCTCTGATGACAGGTTCAGCCGGAATAATAAAGGGCTGAGAATAAAATTCAGATGCATATGTGGAGATCCAGATTTTTGGACCACAGATACTTTTCATGAAACATTCAGTTCACCTTGACAGGAGAATTATAAACAGGTTTTTAAATATTTAAGTGGCTGATTTTTATTGTTGCAGAGGATAACCGGCTCTGTTTGATATTAGCAACTGGTAATCACTTGTATCATTTAAGTGTCTCCTCACATACACACATAGGCAAAGGAGATATAATTACCTCCATTTTACTTGTGAGGAAACAGCTCTGAGAGATTAGGAGAATAGACTACAGTCCTGTATCCATCCGGTGGGATACTATGCAGCCGTTAAACACATATCTGATGAATATCAAGTGAATAACTGATAGCGCCGGAAGATGTTTGCAATATATGGTGAAGTGAGTCAGGCAGGTACCAAACCCTGACTCAGATCGGTGTGGTCCCGTGTGTGCTTTCGACACACGCGCTCCCAGAAAAAGTGTGGGAAGACGCTGCCAGCCTGGCGCCTGGCCTACAGAGTGCCTCCTGCTTAGCTGCTCACTTAACTGCACTTTCGTGGTTCCAGGGTGTGAAGGAGCTGAGCTCCCTGCTGCTCAGCCAGTCGCTGCTGCTCCCAGCCCTGAAGCTTCTCCTCGAGAGCCGGGACGAGAGCCTTCACGCAGTGGCGCTGGAGCACATCACTGCCATCGTCAAGGTATCCCCAGTGGGACTTCCCGTTGCCTGTGTTTCAGAGAAATGAATTAGCCTGGTCATTCTCAGAAATCATGTCCATGATTGAGTTAAGACTGTTTTGTCCGCACTGTTCTCTGACCACACTATTCCTGTTTTGTCTAAGAAGGAAATATTTGTTTATTCTATCAACACTTACTAAACTCCTCTCATGAACCAGACTCTGTGTTTATGTGCCGAGAATACAAATCCGAATGATGAAGCGGTTTCTCTCGAGAAGCCGGTGTATTGTACCCTCCAAGGAAATGTCAGAGCAGCCCAGGATGAGTGGGCTTGTCCTTGCCACTTGAAATTTGGATCATAGGGATCGGTCGCGTCAGGCAGGATTCTGTGCCTGGATGTATGTGTTTGGTTACCTGCTAATTAAAGGTGAAACAGTGGCTCTGCAGGTAGTGTTTACCGGCACCATCTGAAATCTCAAGCCCTTATTTCCCCTGGCAAACTACCACGCCATTGAACCAGCGTCCGGGCTTGAGGAATGACGTATGAAAGTCAAGGGTTGAGATTTCTCCCTCAAGGCTGGTTGTCTTGTTATCATGATTAAGGAAGAAACTTGCACTTCCCTTTTAAAATTTTACACTTTAGGAGTAGGTAGCTCAGGGTTGTGTTTTAATGAATTTCTGTTGTATGATCCTTACTGAAATGCTTTTGTAGGGAGATCGTTCGTTCATTGGAAAGTGTGTGTGTGTGTGTGTGTGTGTGTCTTTATGACTGTGTACACACACACTACACACGCAGATAGAATTTTAGGTATGTGTGTATACTCAGGCACATGCACACAAAGTATTTTTTTTTAACAAAAATAGAAGAGGATGTCTTCTGGGGACCAGAGAGGAGAAGGGAATTCTAGAGCCGAGGTACATACTTGCCAAACACGACTCTGAAGAGATTTAATGACCGTGGGTACAGAAAGTTAGGTATATGGTTACAAAAGTAGATACTAATTGCATTTGGAAATAGTCATGATGAGCAAAATGAGAAAAATCTAATGCATTTATTCACTGAGATGTGTTTTTGAAATAATATAAAGCTTCTGTAAATATTTTTATGACCACTCTTCATTATCGCTGATGATTGGTCATTAGCAGGGCCCTCTTTGGAAACAAGACATTCGTAGGGAGTGGAGGGGACCTGTCTGCCGTTACCCCCCCATCCATCTGGGCTCAGATAAACCCTTCATAATGTTGGGAATTGACAAGGAGCTAAGAATTGTGGGGTTTTTTCCCTTAGCCCATTTTTTATTGCAAATCCAAGAAATGGGGAAGAAGGGGAAAACAGAAGAAAATAAGGCTGTATATTTTCAGTGCTTTTCTTTCTCCCCACCATCGTCCACTGTATTAGTGTCTCTGCTTAGGTATTCCCACTAAATTGGCCCTGGGCCTCTCCGAGAATACCCGTGACGTGTTATCCGTCAGCCTCCTGTGTCCATCCTGCGTAGAGCTCGCTAAATGCGTCCTCAGTTCCGCAGGCCAGCATATCAGGTTTCACCTCAAAGGTTCTTCATCTCAAATGCGTCCGTCAGAACTGCAGCTAGAACTGGGGCTCCCTCACTGCTGACTGGCCTTGCTGCACACACACCCCCCCTCGCACACCCACTCCCGCACACGCACACACACCCTCCCACCCCCACACAATACCCGCACATACACATACCCACACACACCTGCACACACACTTGCACACACCCACACACGCCCACACCCCCACACACTCCCACACCCCCTACACAGCCCTGACACACACACTCCCATACTCCCACACACATAGCCCTGACACACACCCCTACAGTCTCACATGCCCCACACACACCCCTGACACACACACCCTCATCCCACACATATACCCACACACACTCCCATATCCCCAGCACACACACACACACATACACACACACACATACACCCCTCCAGTATGCATGCTGTCACACACACACACCCCACACACCTGCACACATTCACATTCCCAACACACTCACACACACTCCCCACACACACTCTCACACACTGCACACATACATCCATACACACTCCCACATACCCCACACACACTCTCACACACCCCACACATATACACGCACACACACTCCCACATTCCCAACACACACACACACTCCCCACACACACCCTCACACACCCCCCACTGCCCACACACTCCCACACCCCCAACACACACTCCCACACACCCCACACGCACATACTCTCACACACACACCCCACACACCTGACATATACACACACTGACACACACCCCACATACACCCTCTACCACTGGCTATCACAATAAGAAGCCAGGTGGGAACACAGCAGCACCCCAGTCACGTGTAAATGATGCTGCATTACCTCTGGCACACTGCCGTGTGACGTGCAGCACTGCTAACGCTCCGTGGTTCTGAAATAGCCCGTGGGTGGCTGGTTTGCTGGGGGTTGTGGTGATGACACCCCAAACTGCTGTGGCCTTCTGAGGCGAAAATCAAAACCCGAGATGTCAGTTGCTGAGAGGAGCTGCTTACTGACCACTGAGACCCTTCCCTGAGGATTGACAGTGACACTTACCTGTCACTTCCCTGCACGCGGGCTGAGGTTCACATTAGGCCACCTCACCTGTGCCTTTAAAGTGTGTTCACAGAAATGCTGAGTATCTCCGAGGAGCCACGGGGTGGCAGGGTTTTCCAGTTTTTAAAAATATTTAACTTTTTTATTTTGAGCTAATTTTATTTTATTTTTTTTTTTAATTTTTTTTTTTTTTTAATGTTTTATTTATTTTTAGGAGAGAGAGAGACAGCGTGAGCAGGGGAGGGTCAGAGAGAGAGGGAGACACAGAATCTGAAGCAGGCTCCAGGCTCCGAGCTGGCAGTCAGCACAGAGCCCGACGCGGGGCTCGAACCCACGAACCGCGAGATCATTACCTAAGCGAAAGTCGGACGCTTAACCGACTAAGCCACCCAGGCGCCCCGATTTTTTTTTTTTGAGCTAATTTTAAATTCGCATTCAGTTGTAGGAAATCTACAGCAGGATCTCTGGTAGCCTCTCCGTCCGGCTTCCCTGATCTCACCATGTCACACGGCTGTAGTGCGACGTTCTGACCAGGATGGTCCTAGGCCCAATCTCTGGGCCTTATTTAGGCTGCACTGGTTTTACAGGCACCCGTTCAGGTGGGAGCCTGTGTGACATCCAGTGAGATCCTGTCCCATGTAGGCTCGTGTCACCACTGCTACAGTCAAGGCACAGAGCACTTCCACCCCAGGGATCCCTAGTGGGGCCCTTTGTGGCCACAGCCACCTCCTCCCTTCCCCTCTTCACCCTTCCCCCCAGCAGCCTGTGACAACTACTAATCTGTTCTCTATCTCTGTCACTTTGTCATTGCAAGAATGTTCTATACTTGAAGAAAGAAATCACTCTAGTTCATCGTTGCTCTCCCAGCACCATTCAAAGGTCATGTGACCCTTCTCTAAGGACGGAGTTTCATGGGCCTTCATATAGGACTCCTGACTAGCTATTTTTATTTTATTAATTTTTTTTCTATTTTTAAATCATATGTGGTATTGCAATGAAAAATATAGTAACATTTGCTTTCTTTCTTTTGTTCATTTGTCTTTACTTTGCTATTCACTCTGTCCATTAGTAGAGGGCCTGAGTTCATTACTAACTTCAGTTTCTCCCTTGTGGTCATTGACGGTAGTTCCTGTTGATGTTAAAAGACAAAACAAAGGGACTCCTCTGACAGGCAGCCGCTCCTGCACAGCACGTGCATCCCGGTGGGAAGATGCCGCCACGTGCTTGCTGTTGGCTTGTATTCTTTCACTCTTGGTTACAAGAGGGCGACAGCTTTACAGGTGCTTACAGCTCAACGGATGATGCGTTAAGTGCTGATGCCGGAGATTGGACTGTATTTCTTCATTTCCTCCTTGAACCTTTTCTGAAATCGCAAACCTCTAGTGTTTATTTAGCATGTAACCTCTTACAAATGGCCAGCAGCCTCTTTTCTGGAACAAGAGAAAGTCTCTCTTAGAGATATTGTCAATGAATAATTAAAACCCAGGTATGGTGTGCATCTTCCTCAGCTGACCATGAGGTTACGTCCCAATAAATCCATTGCAAGTTGGGAATATTGTGAGTCGAAGACACACTTACTGCACGTAACCTGCCAAATACCAGAGCCGAGCCGAGCCTGCCTCACACGTGCTTGGAGCACTTCCGTTAGCCAACATCTGGGCAGAATCACCTAATGCAGAGCCTGCTTTATAGTGAAGTATGAATGTGTCATATAATTTATTGAAGTCTGTCCTAGACGGAACAGCCGTCTAGGTGCAGAAGGCATGTCACCATGTCGGTTGTTGACCCTCGTGATCATGTGGCTGATGGAGAGCTGCAGCCGCTGCCACCAGCCAGCACCATGAGAGAGGACCACACTGCGTATTGCTAGCCTAGGAAAAGATCCAGAATCAAAATGGTGCTTCTACTGAACATGTATTGCTTTTGCATCACTGTGAAGTTGAATAATTATTAAGTCAAAGTATTGCAAGTCAAGGGCCGTCTATATGGACTGCTGGATTCCCTTGTCCATCAGCCTCCATGAGATTCAAGCTCACTTCCAAAACCTTCTCTCCAAGAAGGATTCTAATCTCATCTCTGGAGTATTTTCTCCTGGGAAATTCACTCACTCATTTCCTCAGAGCAGGCAGACATTGATTTATAAGAGTTCTGTACACTGAAATCCCCTGTTTCATGATTCCAGACTTGTGGTAGCTTCTGTCCTCACCTCTTCTTCTTCTTCAGTGCTGCTCGCCACCTCTGCCCTCACCCTCTTTCCCAGGATCCATCCGGGACTACAGTGCCTGCTGAAGGGAAAACTCGGGGTTACACAGGAGGGGTTACAGACCTCATCACCTGATGAAGCACACTTGTTTGAAGCTAATAATGACCAGCGTCTCTCTTGTATCAGCTCTTTGCCCGGCACCGTGAAAGG